AAACCTCTCCCCACATCCTCATCTAGAGGCTCATGGTCCTGGCAGACGTGGGAAGCCTGACCACTTGTGAAGACAGGCAAAGCACTCATTGAGCACCTCAGATTTTCTATGTCTGAGGAAGCCAGCTCCCCATTACCTTCCATCAGGGGGAACACTTTCCTTGATCCATCTCCTCCTGCCTACCTACCTCTAGAACCTTATCTTTCACATCGCTTGCCAAGTTCAGCTCTATTTGTGTCTTGGTTTTCCTAATCCTATCTCTACATACACAGACAACAGCCCTGTATTCCTCCCAGGCTGCACAACCCTGCTTCCACTTTCTGTGCATTTCCCTCGGTTTAAGCTGCAGATTCCTGCACATCCATGTTTTTAACAGTTATCAATATGTTTGTGGTTTTCTTTTTTTGTTGGTTGTTTTCTGTTATTACTGCTGCTTTTGTTTGTTTGTTTTCAAAGGCAAAATATGCCAGTGTAAAGTATAACATATTAAAGCAGTATGCAGAAGCATGATAGAGGTCCTCATAAGATAGTTTAGGAGTGATTAGGATGGATAAATGGTTTTCTTGGATGGGCTTCTGGGTTCAGCTTTTTAGCATTGTTTGTTTAAACCCTTCATGTTTCTATAGAAACTTTTCACCTGAGACTTTAAATAGAGGCTCTGCATGTACCCAGAAAGTAAAGTTCTCTGTTGTCTTTGGTTACAAGGTCCTTTTTGACCCAAAGTCAAGTCTGGTAATGCTGAAAAGATCAGAGTTACTCTGAAAGGAAAAATGATGTAGAGATAACATATAGATGTAGTATTTATCTGTCTTTGATCTTGGTTTATTCTTAGCTTATCTCATTCTCTGTGTAAATAAACTGTCTAAAGCATATACTGCTCCCAAAACTTCGTGTGCTGCATCTACTAGCACAAGAAGATTGTCTTCTTTTCTATTTCTTCAGGGAAAAAAAATCTAGCTCTTTTAGTTCTGAATGTTCATGAATTTATTCTATCATGAAGTCATGATAATTGGTAGAATTATGATCAGACACCATAAGGCAAATTCTACCATTATCTGTCAAGATAATACTCCAGTGAAAATATCCGCTTGTGCCAGCTATAGGCAGTTTATCTCTTCAAAATAATTCTGCATCTGTTCTAAGATGTATTCTGTGCTGCATTTTGGATGGAAGTAGCTGAGCTAAGCTGTACTGCACAACCCAACTGTGCAATGGTTGGCCCAATTCAAAAAACCTCTTTCTTCAAAATAAAAATGAAAGTACCAAGCCATGGCTCTTTGATCCCAGTTAGCTTTTCCCTAAGTCTTCCTATCCAAGTTAGTACAGTCAGCTCCAGCTTAGAAAATACTTTGGCTCAAACATTCCACAATTCTTTTTATTTGTGCATTTTCCTCTTGGATTGTTATTTGCTTGGATTGTCCATTGTTCAACAGCTGAAAATGTGTTTCTTAGTTGTTTGTTTGTTTGTTTGTTTCTCTTGATATGCTGACTTAAATTAACATGTAAAAAAAATTAGAAGTATTGTTCTTCTGAACAAGTACTTTCAAGTTTCACTTAAAAAAATAATTTATATTCAAATGTGATTAGCTATGGTCTTATACTAAGGCACTGTACTTATCTACTGTGATCTACTGTGATCTACTGTGTTGTCTTGATTTTATTTTATTTTTTTAAGTATTAGCTTTTCAGCAGGCAGTAAACTGTTTGTTTTCCTGTTATTTGCTACAGAACAGTGAAATGATGTTTTGCTGCTTTTTTTTTTTTTTCCTGGGTGTAAGTCCCATGCCTACTTGCTTGTAAAATTCACAATTACGTTCAGCAGACAGGGAATTAAAGGAATATTATGCTATTAGATGCCCTGTAAAGTAGTCCTGAGCTCCTCATTCACTTTGGTTTTGCTCTTTATTGTGTGTCTGTCGTACTTGGGGTGTTGGAAATCTCACATAGTGTTATAAGGTAAGACTAATACAGGTTATAGTGTTGGTGAAATTGGCCAGAACCAGCTACCTTGCTAAATAAGGACATCAGTTATTTCCTATGAATGCACAAGTGGCAGAATAGCTAAATCATGCATTAGTCACATGAAGAAGTTGTATATACGAAATTGAGTTTGGTAAAAGAGGGTAAAAATGATTAAAATCTATTTAGGGATAAAGATTCAAATCTAAAACATCAGATGTTAAGCAACTGAAATTTTTAAATATCACAGATGATGTAATTATGGAGCCTATTGATGAAACCATTCCACCTTCCACAGATTTATAATTTGTTGTTTTTTAGACCAGACCTGATTAATTAAACCACTAAATAATGGAGAGTATTGTCTTTAATATGACATGGTAATGTCTCTCTAATACATGTAGTATTAAAGGACAAGAAAATAACTAAAAAAAAATATTTTGTGAGTGGGTTTTTGATTTTTGGTGGTGTTTTCTTCCTTTAGGAAAAACCTGATTGTCAAAATATTTAATAGCTGTATATTGAAACAACTAATAGACCACTTCTAAAACACCAGGATTTTCAAAGCCTAATTGCTTGGGCAGTCTTATGTAGGTCTTTGCATATGCTTCTTAGCTCAAAGATTCATGGAAGTACAAATCTTTCAAACCCTGGCTGTTTAGCTCATTATCATTCAAAGACAAGGTTGTATCTTCTTAAAAATACAGACAAACTGTAGGTGATAGGGCAGCAACAACATCAAAGAAAGGTGAGAGTTTGGATGAAGGTTCAACAGCATGTTCTGAGGTAGGATAGAGGGGTATATAGCAGTCTATTGAATTATACTAGTTAGGGTGTTTGGCCTTAAATTCAAAATGATTTTCAGCTCTGTAAGTTAAATGTTTCTATTATTAAATGAATGCACTTCTGTAGACATACTTAAGCAATATGTTTTCCTGTAATATTTTGTGTGACAAACTTCTTATTCATTCTTGAATAAGATTCTCTTGTTCTTTGTGTAAGCTGGGTACTGATCCAGTTAAAAGATGTATGTGTGCTGAGATGACATGAAATGCAGCAATCCCAGAACTATGCATAAACTCTCTCTTGCATGTGATTTATCTTCTTTCTTGCAACCTGAGTACCTAGACTGTGAAAATATGGCCCATGTTTTTAAAAAGTTTATCATCTTTCACCAGAAAGCTCTGGGTAAGCATTTCTGGTATTGTCTTAGTTTAATAGTATAATAAGCACTTCCCAGTAAGTTTTCTTTAGCCAACTAAGTCCTACCTGGCATGTTTTAGATGAATCCACTGAAGAAGATTTGATGTTCAGGATTTAAAAAGAAAAAAAAATAAATCCATGTTGATTACTCTCTATTTGAGCTCAGTAGCACTATCTTGTATGTTGTTTTCTTGTTATTATCTTTACACATTCTTATTTAACACTAGTGGAATGCTGCCTGTGTAAATATTCAGAATTTGGTTGAAAGTAACACATAGTGAAAATCTCTGGTAAATTATTGTTTTGTATTTGACCTTCAGGATACCTTTTTGCAGTACCTGGAAAATGTGGCAAGCTTTGGAAAAGCATTTGCTGCCTTTAGAATGCTGTTTGTCTGTGAGTGAGAAGCCCACCTAGGCTCTGAGAGTTGTTCATTCGCAGTGCCTTATCTGCAAATATTATGTTTCTAGTGAACTATAATTAAGTTGTGAAGCAGTTATTGCAGAATCAGGGTATGTTATATGAGATCCAGACAAATACAAGCTATCTAGACCTAATATAGCCTGTCACAAAGAGTTCTGCAAATGAAAAATCTTAGGACTTGAAGGAAAACTTTCATTACTGTTCTCTCCACATAGTCACATTCTAAGGCTTCCGGCATCTTTTATGGCACAGATCAACTTTCTGCATTCACTAGAGACAGTAGATACACTATGACTTGAATCATTGTATGTTCTTAACTAAAAATGGTGTTGACAGTTCATCTAAGGATGAGACGAATGAAAACTTTTTAACTAAGATGGTTTTGCAGTTTGAGTGTTTTTCCTTTTGCTATTGTTTTTTTGCTGTTGTTTATTTGATATTTACTGGTATTTATTGAGGTGATTCAGAGTTATGCTTTATTTATTACTGATTGCCTTTGGTATGTAAAGCTGAGCAATTCATGGAAAGAATAATCTTGTCACTGTGACCTTAACGTTTCTGTCTACTAGGGTAAGGAGAACTTGCAGTCAGCAGATATTTTCTATTAGCTATGTCTTATTTGAACTGACTTTAACAATAAGAAGTTGGTTCTTTCAAAGCACTGGTTAAATTGTAATAAGCTTCAATATTAGCAGTATTTTGAGGTAATTATTTTTAAAAATAAGTGTAGAGCAGGACCAAGCATTGAAGTTGTACCATATATTCATCTTTAGAGTGACTTTAATTCCAAACCATACTCATAAACTAAAAACTCATGTAAAATACCTACTGCAAATTAGGTTATTGTGTAAACATGCTCTTGTATGTCCAGTGGCAAATTCCATGATGGAAATCATATAGAATTACTGCAGTTCAATGAAAAATATCATAAAAATAAATACATATTACTTCGGTGGATGAGAGCTCAGGCAAACTGTGTATTATTTAAAACTTGCATATCCAGCTACATTATAATGAGCCATGCTTTTAATCAGATTAATGAGTCTACCGTTTAGCACTGTTCATGACTCACAATAGTCTTCCCCTACGGCACAAGTTCCTAACAACCCTTCATGTATCATTCATTAAACACAGACTTTGTAATAGTATGTACAGCATAAGGACGTACAGGACAAGTGATTTTAGGAACAGTGACTATAAACAACTGTGGTAATCCCTCTCTTCTATATCCAGCTCTTCCAAAAAACCCAAATCAGTTCTGTATATTCACTCATTTTATGAATGTTGCTAAGATCAAGGATTTTAGAGGGATTTCTGTGAAACAGAAGTCACACAAGATCACACTCTTTTGAAACATGATGATTTTGGAAAGATTAATATATAACTTTTCTCTCCTCTTCAATTAACTTTGACAGAAATGAGCAAAGCCATCAGAAATCTGAGACAGTGTCTGCCCCAAGTCAACTTACATGAATGAAACCTGAACTGAAATAAATGTTAACAATGAGATCATCAATAGGAATCATGCTTCTCCAGGAAGGGTAAGTAACTATATTTGCAGAAAGAATTACTTGTGTTGTATTCAGATTTATTTAATTTTTTTGTGTGTGTGTGTCATCATCTGTTCTCTCCTGCTTCTGATAGTTTAATTACTATCACAGTCATATTGACTCCAACAAGGACAGTTTTACATAGAAGGCTTTCTACTCAATGGAGAACAATATATGAAAGGTAGTCATTCCAAGTGAAAGGTACAATGTTTCCTTTGAAAATGGCACTCAAGCAGGGTGCTCAGAACAGAAAAAGTTGAGTTCAATTAATTAGGAACTAAGGAATTATGTCGTGCTATGAATAGCAAATAAGTTTACACAAAGTATTATCAGTGAGTCAAACAGAATAGCTTTCCACTTCCCAATGCTTCAAAAATTCTCAATTCTAGAATACTTTGAAATAATCTTTTTTTTTTTTTTTTAATTTCTGATCATTGCCAGAGTTTCAAATATGTAATAACTTAAGATGAAGAATAATTAAGAAATATCCCAGGCTACTAATATTTGAGGTCCATCAATGTCAGCTTTAGAAGAGTCGAATTGCACATCTGTTGAAGTTTCAGTCAAAGATGTTTTCTTTCCTGACAAAACAATCCAGTAATTCCTACTCCAAATGTAGTACAAATCTTATAAAGCAAAAACCAACCAAACAAAACAACTTTAAGGAAATGTAAGATAACGTGTTGTTGTTTTTATAAATTGACCAATTCTAGTAGTATGGGCTCCTAGAATAAGATAAGGAGCTGAGCAACCATTTTTAAAGCTGAGAAGAGGTCTATGTTGTTACTCAACAGAGTGCTCAAAATCAAACCATTTTGTGTTAGCATTACTCCAATAAACAGGCTTGTGACTGAATTTAAATTAATATGAACTTTTTCAGCATCAAAAAAAGTTTGCATCCCATAAAGTTTGTCTGGGCTCATAGTTAAATCATTCTGGAAGACGTCATCGAGACATCATCAATTTCATGTGTTTCATTTGTCAGCCTAATTCTGTTTATTTTCTAGGTTAGCAAGAATACTTAAAGCAATGTCTTTGAAAATATCACTTTGCTTTCAGATACTCCGACAAACTGGATTTAATATCACTTCTGACACTTGATATACTGCCTCCAAAAGGCAGTGCTCATGGAAATAGTAAGCGGCACTTACAACTTTGCAACATTATTCTCAAAAGTGATGACTGACTCATGTTCATCTGAAATAGTTTGCAGCTCTAGGGAAAATTAAGGAATGTACTGCATTGTTGTAAAGAAATCTCCCAACAATGTTAATGTTCAGGCAAAGACAGCTGTGTTTCTTATAGATTACAGACATACACACTTTTGTGTAGGGGCAGATTAAACATTGATCTGCAACATGTCACGGGTCTTCAGAAGTATTCAATTATGAAAATCTATTTCAATTAAATTTCTTTATATAAACATCATGGCAAAATGTAGAAGAATATAAAAGAATTGTAGATTTTTTTTTTAAGGTGTTCTACAATGCACACTCCTTTCAACAGCTTCTTTAAGTATGAAATATTATGCCATAGTTTTAATAGTCTTTAAATGATATTAAAATTATGTTTGTATATATATATTTTCTTCTTAGTCAAAACTTAAATAGAATACTTGACCATACTAAATAGCATTTAATTTTGAAAGAAATTTTCTTAAATTGGGAATACCCCATTCTTGTGGGTAATATGAGAATGCAGTTCTATTTGTTATTTTGTGGTGTTTGACTTTTTTGCTCTGGCAAAGTACTCTCATTTTGCATATGTTCTGTGCATCGGGCAGAATGTGAGAGTCTAGATTCTTAACTGGATGTCCAGCTGCTCTATCATAGAATGTTTTCTTCATTTCATTTCAGCAGAATTTGTCTGAGCTTGCATTTGTCATTCTTAAACCAAATTAGGTGTATTCACAAGCTAAAGAAGATTAGACTTTGTGTTCTGTGTGCCTGTTGTTACTATTTATTTTTTCTCTTCCTAGCTAGCTACCTTTCTTACCGTGGGAATGCTCCATAAGTATTTGCATCAACAACAATACATGTTTTAGAGACCTGGAGAAATGATTACTGCAGTGTGGTATTTGGACTTCTGCTTCTGTGAAGATCTGACTGAATGACTCAAGGAGGTGAGTTTTATGGACTGCTAAAGGAGGTAGGCTTCCTGAAATTACTTACAGTAATTACTTATAAAGTCTTACAGTACATTTAAACAGTATGTACTGTTGTATGTACTGATGTAATTCCAGGGCAGTCAATTGAATAATTTATCCTAGGGAAAAATAAGACAGCAATTGTTTCCAGCTCCTCATTCTGGATACTCCTGTCATAGTCACTAAACTGAGATTTGTGGTTACAGTGATGGAGGGAAAAAAGAAATGAAAAAAAAAAAAGTACTGTACTTTCAAGGGTCAAATTTCTGTTGATGTCACTGAAAAAAGAACAGTTTCATTCACAGGAAGACTATAAGATTTTTTCCTCCAGGTGATAGGTAAATATGGGGTGCTCCAAAAGTACTGCCTTCTATTTTGTTATGTTGTCCTGTGACATCGAACATGGATACTGGTGGTATGGCAGTAGGGGTTGAACCTTCCCACCGATATTCTATTACTTTTTGTTGTCGTGTGACAGATTGCAGCTGAAAAATTGCTCTATCAAATAGTGTTATTGTGCTCTTTATTGTGCATAGTTTCCATGGAAATAAATAGAAAGCATTATTTTTGGAGCATCCTACATCGATTCTTCTGTTTTGGTTCTGGACATTCTTATTTTTTGCATGATATCTGCATCTGTTAGAATCCAAAGAAACCACAGAATCACCACGGTTGGAAAAGACCTCCAAGAACATTCAGTCCAACCATCCACTTACCAACCATATTTCCCCACTAAACCACGTCCCTTACATCTAAACATGGGATGGTAGCCTCATATAGAAGTGACTCCTCTGTTTTATCTCTGTTTTATATATTGCCTCTCCGTCAACGTCATCTTCAAGGAAAATAACAATTACTTTCTTATCCCAAATTCTAATTGCAAAATGTAATGACTGTAGGTGGATAACAACGGCTAAACAGGGACCAACATACAACACAGAGGAAACAATCATTTGAAATGAGAAATTAGTCTTCTGCTGTGAGGAAAATAAGTCATTCTTTCTATATTTAAAATAGGAACTTCTGAGAACTTCATCTTTGCTTTCCTATAGCAAAGAAGAAAAATACATGGAAATTTCAGTCCACTTATATTTTCTATGTATGTTTCTGAGAAAAAAAAAAAAAAATTGAATGTAAACTACTGAGTCTCACACCACTGTCTTGGTATGTTGTGGTTATGGCATGTGGTTTATTTATTTCTGAAAATGATGTAAAATTCTTGATGTTCTTCCTATTTTGTTCTGAATAATCTTTTCTGAATGGAACTTTGTCTCCTAATTCAAGTGCCACTAAAATAAAGGTTAACCTCACTGACTGTATATAACTTCAGTGGAAAAGTTTTTATAAATTATCTTGTTGTTTCACAGGCCTTGGAGAGTGCTGTTGTGGATAGCAATGAGGGTGACTCATCTGGCTATAGAGCTGGAAATGGAAATGTAATATTAAAGAAAATAAATAACAAGACTGAAAAGAGAATTAAATGAGGAAATGAGGCGTGAATGCGTGAGACAGAGGTTAGTCTACTGCATGTAAGTAGATATTGCATAATTATTTGGGAAGCAGAACTTAGTAAGGGAACTGTAGGATTATGAGTGAACTAGAGCACTCTAGGATATGCCTAGCAATTTCTTTATTGCAGCAGGTAGATCTGCCACTCTGTGGTGTATAAGGGATAGCTTGAAAACCCCTTTCTTTGAAAAAATGCATTATGAGTAGTGATTAATTTGTATTGCTTACGTATGTGTTACAATGAATTATTTGCATTGCCTATGAGCAGTTTATCATATTCAGATTTCCAAAATCATTCTTCTAAAGAAAAAACAAACAAAAAAACCATATAAATTTACTTTAAAACACAAGAAATAGGTCTTGAAACTTAAGCTTTGTTGCATGAAAATCTGAACTTAGAGCTAGCAATACTTGAGAACTCTTACACTTTTACAAATTGATCTGTAAAGGCAGCTGAGACTGAATTTGGTGCACAAAGTTACTTTTCTACGTCATTTGACAACTGACTGTACCCTTACTGCTGCAGAAATGCTTTGCTTTTCCTATGTCAGTTACTCAAATGTCAGTACAGCATCAGGTCGTAAAACAAACCCCTCTCCAAAATTTCATGCAAAAATTCATTAGAAAGAATGAATATTTTAAATTTTAACTCCAGTAAATGTAATATATAATATACTATAATATATATAAAATAATATATAATCAAACTATATCTATAATAACTAAATAATGTGTAAGGATGTGCTACTACTCATAAAAGCATTGTTGCTGTGAAGTCTGTAAGAGGTTACATAAACAAAAGCAATTAAGAAGAAATTCAAAATAAAACCTATCTTTCAAAACTCTGGGCTTGTGTATACATGTAAGCTACAAACAGAGGACAAAACTGCTCAATAAGTTTCATGTGAAACCTTGTTAGCAATTTGTATCAACAAAATAAATAGAGGTTAATTGAGGTGCGCTCATAAACATTTTGCTGTCTGAGCAAATAGTTTTTATTTGTAAAACTAATTGAGCCTTTTGTGGTTTGTTTTTTGGAACTGTGATATAGACATTATCATACAATCCTGTTAGAAAAACAGAATAAAAATTGCATGATCAGCTTCTTAATTGTAGATAGTAATGTATTTATATTCATATTATGTATTAGTTACATAATATATTCTTATCAATATGTATGAATAATATATTTTCATTATAATTCTTTTGTCAAAATAGATCATATAGAGAGACCTTTTTATTCTCCAGGTTTTATTTTGGATTTGGAAAGAAACAAGAATGGTACAATTGAGGATTATGAGATTTCTTATCTTACACCTCACAGACTTTAGGATAGTCTTCATGGAAGGGCAGAGGTCTGGATTAATAACAGGAGGTTGCAAGTCTCTAAGTTCAAGCCCACCTGGGTCGGGCCCCACAGGTCTGAACATACAAGTGAGATCAAATAATTATGCTACTTGCCAAAGCCATTATTGATAATTGATGATGTGGTGGAGGAAGCAGGGCTTAGCACAGCTAGACCATATTCTAAACTCATCTGTTTAGCTTCAGACTGGTGAAAGTCACAGCATAGGTCCTTGTATTTAGAAGAAGGCTGTGTCTTTCTTAAATCTGAATAGACTTCGTTCCCAATTATTTCCTTTTTATAGGATGAGCTGTGTCAATACTTTCAAGGCACTTTCCAAGGCCCCCATAATAAGCTACTGAAATATCACTAAACTTGTGTTCTTGACAGCTAAAAAGACTAAAGACCTAATAGTGTTTGTTATTTGCCTTATACAAGCCAATTCATTTCCCATACACATAAAATACAAATATAGTCTTTTTTAAAGGAAATGAACCATTTGGAAACTGAAGAACAAAATAAATCAGATTCCCCAGTGTCTCATCAAGTGCTGGAAGCCTGAATCTAAATTTAGAAAAGGCAAATGAAAATACATTCTGTATTAAAGTGTCAAGAGTGGTTTAAAAAATGTTGGTTGTAAAGCAAAGTGTCACTTATAGTATATGTTTGTATATTCCCTAAAAAAAAAAAACAAGCACTAGGACTTCTGAGGTTGGACAGAGCAAGAATAGAATGGCTGCCCTTCCAGATATGCCTAGCATTCAAAGTAGGGTCCCTGTGCACAGGAGCTCTCACTGCCACAGCTGTAGAGGAAAATTCAGTTTTTACACTCTCTGCTGCAGTGCAGGATGAGTGGTGGCAGGTTGACAAAGCTCTGTTATATCCCACATCAGATGTTTTTGTAAGAGGGGATAGCCAGGTCCAAGGTTCATTTATAAACATTTTAGCAGTCTAACAGAATCTAAGTAACTGCTAAATAGGTCCTGGCTGCTCCAGGTAACTGTGTTCATATTTGAAATCTTTTCTCCCTCAGCAAATATTCACCAAATAAAGCGAGTAGCTGTTCCTGCATTTACTTCCTTGCTAAGACAGATGCTGCCTTATTATCGGCAAACAGCCTTCTGATATAAAATAGTAAGTGCAAATCAGAATGGATCTAAATATTGATATTTGAAAGTTGTAGTTGGTCTGTTCCAACAAAAGATGGCACTGCTGTTTTCTTCAGAACTGTAAAGTCTATTCATTGAAATTAAATACTTTTAAAACAGTTCCCTCATGTTTGTCACAGAATATGCTCACTGAGATTGGTATTTGTTATTACTTAGCTATTACTTAGCTACCAAAGGCCTTAGACCTTTGAAAAGCACATATACATCCACAAGAAGTCCCAACTGGAAAAAACTAAGTGCCAATAATTCACAAAATACTCTTACAATTTTATTGCGTTAACACCCTCTTGGAGTCCAATTTAATCTTGATCATTATTTTATGGAGATAGTTTTGTAACAAATAAGAAATAGAAGGAAAATATTTTTGAAGATTCTCCCTGACCTGTCTTTCTTTATGAGATATTTATTAACAATATTTTTTTGAAATGCCCCTGGATCCAGGTGCACCCTTCCTTGACATTTTCTGCCAGTATTACATGTGTGCTGCTAATAAGATTTTACACAACTCTGAACTTGTTCCATTGCCTTAATTCAAATGAATTAGCTTTGTATTTCAGAGCTAAGCAAAAATTAGGTATGAGTACTAATCCCATAAATAGTATAGATTAAGATGACAATAAGGAACGAATAGAATGTACTTTCTTAGTGTGAAATAGACTGCACATCCCCAATTACAAAATAAATTTGCAGTAGGTCTGTGTTAAAATTAAAGCATCTACCTGTTACCATGACTAAAACCTAAAAAGAAAGCAAAAGCCAAACCCCCAGACAATAATAACCATGGTATGTAAATCGTAAGTAGTCATTTCAGATAAAACTAAATTAAAAAAATGGACATATTCAGCATCTTGCAGGAATACACAAAAATCATTCCATACTTGTCATCACCTTATCCCAGTATGATCTGATGTAATTTAGTTTGAATGACACCATCAAAAACTCAAATGTCCCAAGTTATCCAATATGCTTTACGTTAAGTGGAACCAAAAAATTCAGATGCGTTTGGATAAAAATTACAATATATTCTGATACTGAGGGAGCTTTTTTCCTGTCATTTTTTGGTGATATTTCTGTATGTCGGAAGCTACATCTCAGATATGCTTTCAACTTTCATTTTGGGTTTGTTTTTCTAAGAATACAGTCATGTTATGCTGTAAAGAACCTTTCTTGTTCTTTTTCAATCCTTTCCATACTTTCCTCCAAAACAAGGATCAAAAAAAATAAAACCTGCCAGGCAAATGATCCTGTATTCTCAAAGCATCCTGAAGTTGAGAATAAAGGTTTCTTATGAAAAGAAGCATGTAACAAACACCTTTCAAACTACAATAAACTATTCTCAACATGGTAAAGCCCCAGATATTCCAGCTTCCTTGCTGCTAGTGATCACCTCCATTCAAAATGGCAGCCAGCGGAAGTACTGAGGAAGCAAAAGCTATAATTCAAAGATGATCATGGAAGCGTATCACAATGAAACTGTAACAGTTCAAACAGTGAAATAATACAATTTCTTAAAACAGTAATACTGACCTTTTTATTGGCAGAGGTGTCTTTCCATGCAGCTCACCAGTCTCACCACTAAACAGGACAGTGACGCATTGACAAACGCTTACAACTGTCTTTAATGAGTGGAAGGAGAACTGCAGTTTTACAGGTCTTTGCACATTTGCACAGCAAGACATCACCTTGCCTCATTAAGAATACATTACCACTTTGTTTGTATGTTCAGAGTCTTTTTAATGAGATTCCCCTTAAAATACTGTTCGGAGAGAAGCAGAATATTAGCACATATGTATTTCAATCATATGTTCAATGCAGTAAATTCAGGAAAAAAAAAGAATTGTCAAAGAAGTGCAATACGTGGGTTTTAGATTTTCTCAAAATTAAGATTTAAAAATTACTATTAACCTTTAAAAATTACTATAATGTGTATTTTGTCCTTTCCCTTTGTCTTTTGTCCTTTTTCCTTCGTATTTTGTCCTTTGTCCTTTTATCCTCTTCTAATATAACCTTGCAGTTGGGCATTTATCCAAATTTAAACTCTTTTATCATTTTCCAGTTTTACCCTGGTTGGTTTTCTTTCTTTCTTTCCCTCCCCCCTTACCTGATGTTCCAGGATGCATTATACAACAACTTTGCTCCACATTCTTCCCTTCCTGTCTCAGAACTCTTTGCCCTTTCTGTGTTCTGCCTGCTTCACTGGAGAACTATGTCTATATCATGGCTGCATTCATTCAAGCTGGAAATCAGAAGAAGGTGAGTACTGAAGACCAAGTGCAGGAAACTTACTGTCTTTCCAAGGAGCTGAACTTCCTGTTCACTCATTGCTCATGGAGAGCTCTGCTGACTCCTGTCACAACCCCAACTCGCAGCCGTTCCCCAGAGGTAGCCAAACAGGCACAGCTCAGGAAATTCCTGTAATTGAATTATGTCAGCTGCCGAAAATATTCATTGCCAAAGTTCTTACAGAAAAGAAGAGAAAGTAATATTGAGAAAAAGAGCTTAGGGAAGAGGGACTGAATTTTATGCTCAAAATTAATGCTAACATAATAAAAAATGTTCATAGTAGTCAATCACATTGCAACCTTTCCCACATCTTAAAAATGTACTTGACTATTTACTGCAAGAACACAGTAATTTTCACCAGGTACTACTGTTTCATGATGCTGCATTAGCAAATCAAGCAGTAGACCAGGGGTTGCAGGTGTCTTTCAAACACTGCCATTCTTTCACAATTCGTACCACAACAAACAATATGCAGAGTTAAAAAACACTCAGCGTTTCCTGCAGGTGATATTTATTTATCAAGATATCATCATATACTAATGTAGACATGCTGAAAACTTAGAACTACATTTAGATTAATTCATAACGAAGACATATTTAACATAGCATAGAGATAATTAAGGAATTTGAGGTAAAGGACACTTCGTTTTTTTACTTCCTATGAAATTTACCATGCATTAAATTTAGTGAAAATCCTTTAGACCAATTCATTTTCTGAGTTATCTAGTTATTAAACAAGTTACCTCCCCATATGTGTAAAAATGTCATAAATGCATTCCTTAAGATTACATCAAAATCTATATGCTAAAAGGCTAAGCACGGTGCAATGGCAATAGAAAACATGTCAGAGTATGGTATCACTGTAGCATGACAAATTCCCTGAAATGAAGGCTTGGGCCCCAATCTTAAAATTCAGTTGGATGTTTTTGTATTGTTTTCAAGAGTTTACTGTAGATAATCAAGAATCTTGAGTAAGAGATGATTAGAAAAACTGATTCTAAGCTGAAGACTTCAGCTGCCTGACACAAGATGACTGTATTAATAAAGAATTTGAAACATGAGTTAAGCTTTCACAGTATCAAATCCATAATCAGGAAAAATAAAAAATAATTAGACTGAAGAAACTCAGAGGAGTAGTGTAATCTCTTTGTCTCTGAGAACGGCACATCATAAATATTTCTTCAGTCATCAGAGAAAAATAATTTTGGCTCTTCTCCCCTCTACTGCTGCTCATAAAATAGAGGAGCTGTGCCTCTGTAATTAGCTTGGAAGGTAGCTTCTCCTCTTCCTCCCACCACATGCTTTAGCTTGAAAACAATAGTTTCATACTTCCAGCACAATTAAACACAAGGCACTGACCTTTCTGTGGCATAAGTGAGAAATGATCAAGATTAAGGCCAGTGGTTAGCGACATCAACTCCTGGAAGCATTTATCATCTCACTGGGCTTGAAGTTCATGAGATCCCCACTGTGTTGTGGTTTGAAGCAATTCTGAAAGGAAATAAACACATTCTGCTGTTTGTTCCTGTCTTTGCAAAGGCATTTTGTAGCTCGTTGGAGTTTTGTTCTCGTTGGAACATATGAAATTTAGAATAAATACCTAAGGTGCTCACTGTCCTGATCAATAGCCAGTACACTATTTTAAATAAATGGTTAGACTGCACTCTCAATCTCTGGCAAATGGAAGTTGTACACACTTACTCACCTTTAAATTTATCTACACTTGAATATGTAGTTTTTTGGACCAGGTGAAAAAGTCAGGAATCTAATAAGGAAATGATTTTAAAAAGAGGTTTTTAATTTCAATAAAAAAATTAATTTTGTTCCAAAATTTGATATTGAAAATCTGTCACAAAGAAATTTTACAGTTCTAGATTTCTGCTATAGATTAAAATAAATACATCTAGAACATTTCTGAAACAGAACATGCTCTTTTTCTTCACAACTTGCCTAAAGAAACCAATGTTTTCCTTTGGTTCCTAAAAATTGAAATCAATGCTGTTGAATTTCAAACATACTAGTACTGTATGTAAACTTTGTTTCAGTTCACAATTTGATTAATGGATCAAAGAGCTTTGTTAATACAATACAATTCTGAATTCTGATTATTTCAACATTTATTTCAAACTGCTTTTTTTTAATCACACTTGTAAATATACCAGAAACGCCCACTTTAATTATTAATACTATTCAAAATCAGTATGAATAGCCTCTGTCTTAAAAATTGCAATTAAAGTAATGTGGAATAGAAATCCAATATCTAGATTACAGTATGCAAAAAAAAAAAAAAAAAGGTTATTTTAATTTGTGATATTTGCAACAGGTGTAATTTGGACTCAATCTCTGTTTGTGTTAAATGCAGCTTCCATGTGGAATATTCATAACATTAAAAAAAAAAAAAGTTTTAAAAAGTTCTGGAGTACCAATAAATTATTTGATTCTAATTTCTGTGAGGTCAAAAAGAACTATGACTTTTTCCTCAAGATTTACATCATTATAATTTAAAAAAATACAGGATTCCCTAACCTTATACTTTTCCACTGGTATCTCATCTTTTTCCCTCTCTTTGGTTTTACGTTACTATTCCTCTTGTACCCCAAAACTTGAACCCTTGAGTTCAATCATCTGAGACCTTGAAAGAAGGGAAAGATGAAACAATTAGTTGCTACCTTGAGGGTTCCACAAAGTTATTCTTGCAGTTCTGAGGAAACTTCACAGATTATGACTTTCAAGCTCTGATGGAAAGGACCCAATGGAAAACAGAAGAGCTATCAAATGGTCTGTTAGTTGTTTGTGTGATGCTATCATCTCCTAACAATATGCTAGTTGTATCTAGCTCCTTCCCAATAATAAAATAACAGATGTTATTATTCTATAAGAGCTGCTTTGAAAGTAACACCTCCTATTTTATTATGCTGGCCCACGGCATTAGAGGTGCATGCTGGGGGTAGAGGATGAATTTTCCCACCATTAAATTTTGTTGCTGTGAGACAAATGGTAGCAGAGGGGCACTCTGATAAAATGGTGTATGAAGCAAATGTGTGTAAATGAATTCGTCCATGCTGAGCATTTGTAGATACCAAACAGTGAGTAGATGGTGCATTTCAGCAGTGGTTACTGTGACACTGGGTCACCTCCACCAGTGCAGATTTTTACAAGCGTGGCATGCAGGCTCTTGTTCATCACTGGCAAAAAAAAAAAAAAAAAGAAACAGAAAAAGAAAAAAAAAGCATATCTTGTGGCAGTGACTCTGTTGGAAAAGAGCAGCTGAGAATTTGCTCCATCAAATATTTTAGTTGTGCTCTTTGCATCTGTTGTAGCTCCCACTGAAGTAAATAGGAGGCATTACTTTCAGAGTATAGCCTTAAAGTGAATGACATGCTATACAGATTGCTCTCTATCCAGCCTGTCCTTTTGGAGTGAATTATTGCAAGGAAATGGATCATCCTCCTTATCTACATAAATTGTATATAATATAGCCTTTTTTAAGTGATGCAAACTCATATACACCTATTAAGGTATTATTTTATTAAACTAATGCGATTAAAAAAAATAAAAAGCAAATGAAACAGCTAATTAGGTATTTATAACTTGTGTCAAAACAGCCCAATTTCTACCATGATTGATCTGAATCACAGAATTGTAGGCGTTGGAAGGGACCTCTAGACTTCACTCAGTTGTCAGCCCACTTCCCTATCCACTCGTCTATCTGGTTTTCCTTTTTCCAGATCTAGTCAGTCCAGTTCCTATCTCAAAGAACTTTCTCACTTCTGATTGTCTTTTTGAGTGTTCTTACATGCTGGTAACTTGCTCATCTACTGATACCATGGTTCTATATGTGTAAATGTTTTGTCTGTGATTCTTTAATCTCTCATTGAAAGGAAAAACAACTACCAAAACAGTAAAACAAGATCCAAACTCAAATGCATCCAAAATTTTTTCTGACTAGAAAATCACAATGCATTTTCTCAGATTATCCAATATAGGCATAAACGACAGAGAAGTAAAAATTGTGGCCATGAAACTTCTTTCAGATCTTAACATACAAGGATGAAATTGTGTTAAAGATCCTCTCTTATCTCCGTGCTTATTTTATTATTTGGGTTTCTTGATTCTCTACCTGATGATTTATAATCTTTTTATCCTCTTACACCTCCCTCATCTTATGGAAAACATACTATGAAGGATTCTTTTTTTTTACATCACCTTTTAATTTAACCAGAATCTGTTTCTAATTTTAGTGGTTGGGATTATAAATTACTGCAAAAATTTAAACAGATGTGAATTTCCTTCTCACAGTGAGAAGGCAAACCTGGTCCAGATGCAGAACAATAATGCCAAGTGTGGCAATGGCTGGGCTCTCCAATGTTTATAAGGGATATTTTTGATATATGTATGTATGCACATATATTTAAAAACCTCTTGATCTCATTCAAAACATTTTTTGAAGAACAGGCTATTTTGTTCCTATCCATCTTAAGGTGTTTCTCTGCATAGAGATCTGTAATGAATAAAATTGTAAAAGTTGTTCATGGCATGTAACAGTTATTTTTAAGGTTCTGTGGAACACCCTTGAACAATTAAGTAAAACTCATACTTTAATATCTCTTATTCTTTCTTTTTGTTTTTACTAATTTTGATAGAATAGGCAACATTTTTTTTCCCTTTACACGTGATTTTGTATGTTATTCCATGATATGTTGGAAGTTTAGAAATATATAATTAAAATGGCCATGTAGCTAAAAAGATAAGGAGACATCTAAGTCATTAGTCCTGTTCAGTTGCCTACAAGTTAAACCAGTCAGTTGAGCAAGTTTATATTTAGTCTGAACCTACATACATCATATATAAAATTTATCAGTCCTATCTGTCATCTGAAAGAAATTTTGGTAAATATGTATAAAATAAATGAACTTTAATGCTATTATTTTATTAGATAAAAAGATTAATTACCTTTAGATGAGTTTCAGAAACCAAAAAAAATCCTTCCAAAAATTCCTGAAGAGCTGAGCAGGACAATCCAACTGAGCTGGTGCAACACAAAGTGATTACTGTGCAGCATCTTCCAGTGGAATGGTTGTTAACTTAATGAAATAATAAAAAATACCATGATTAGCATCAAACGAGGTACAGTGTTTAATAACATCCAGTTCTGATATTTATTTAATTGTGTGACAAAAAGAATGGCTATATTTATTATGCTTAGGAAAGTTAAAGTGGTTTCCATAAAGTTTAAACACGTTTGTTTTCACATAATAGCTTTTCAAGCCAACAATGGTAAAATAATACTGTAAATCTGACCCTGAAAAGAAATTATGTGATTTTTTTTTCTATGACAACAGAATTAGACAAGATTAAGAAGGCATATAATTGCATTTAAGTGCAATGAATTAAATTCCTTCTTCAATACCACGTATCTTTCATCTAGTACAGGGTAAGTCATACTTTTTTAGAAACTCAGGCCTAATATTTTCAGTTCAGTTTTCATTTTATAGTATTGTCCTCCTTAGGGAAGTCCTGTGAGTGTTCTCATAGAATAACAGTATAATGGCTAACTCTGATTGGCTCAGTTTGTGTCTTTTCCACAGACTCCCCATGTCCAACAAACCTTGGACAAATTCTTCTATCTAGTTCTGAGCGCTCCATCTCTTTTAGGAAAGCTGGTTATGCTCTATTCTTGAAGTGCCATGATAATCAGGACCACCACTGAGAATGCTATTAACTGGAATTCTGACAGATTTCTTTTCCAGGCTTTTGTCTGTGATGTTAAGATAGATTTTCATATATTATGAGGTAAATAGTGTGAAATAATAGGTTTGTTTGCTTCCATCCTCAAATCCTCAACTTTAAGATAAATATCCAAGAGAAACCAGTTTGCAAATACAAAGTTGCTCAGTTTCATAATTCTACATTCTAGCATCTTTTTTTTTTAATTCTCTCCCTTCTAGTTTGCCATTTTTCATCTGCACATACATCAAAATGATGAAACAAGTCCTCACTGTAAAGATTTTCTTTCTGCCTTTAAACATAATGCTCACTCACATTCCTAATGCTGTAATGATCATCCAGTATAACTGAAAATTCTTGATGGCTGAGATTCCTTTTCATGAGCAAATTACAAATGGCAATAAAATGAGTTTTGCCTTTCTTAAGATATTATGTGATTTAGACTCAAACTTATGATTTAAATTAAAGGAAATGTCTTTTACTACCATAATAATTGATTTCAAATCAAATTTGAAAATTTCAAACTCTGATTTCAGTATCCTCCTCAAAGTATATAGAAGGGTTATGTAGTCACTTGTAGGCAAGAACACTGTAACATTCTGCTGCCTCATGAAGTGGCCATTACTCTTCAGTTTCTCATCTCTATATCATGGTGTTTTGAATTTGTTCACTGTATGTACTCCTTCAGTGCACGGAGAAAAATTCAGTTAGCTGTTCAAGGAAATGCATTTTTGCCAAAACTTTGTGGGATTTGAGCAAGGAAAATATCAACTCACAACTGACTCGCAGTATCATTACAATTCAAAACTGCTTCACAGTATCACAAGGATAATATCAACTCACAACATCATCTGCATCTTTGGAGTAAAATGTGTATATTAAAATGCAGAAAGGAAGCTCCCTCATCTCAAACACACAATTTTTCTTGTTATTATTAAAAGAGTTCAAAAAATAAAGACCCGAAGAACGATGAAGATAAAGAATCTCTTCCTGACTTGTTAAAATTGCTGCCCACGATAGACTTTATTTGATGGTATTTGTAATAGCTTCAAAAGGATATTTGAGCTACAGGTAATTGGTAAAAAAGAAAAAGGTTTCTCAACTACTTTAAGATCTTGTTGCAGCTCTAAGGACTGACTGTAGATACCACCTTTAGTACATCTAGACATACTTGAACACTAAAAATATACCTTCAGCTGCACTTTCACAAGCCCTTTTGTATTATTGTATTATGTACGATTGTATTATCTTGAGCTGGTTACAAACTGTGTATTCCTTATGGCAACTGGAGACGACCTGCACCTTGACAGTAAGCATAATATAAAAAATATAAATAAGAATCACACTGTGGTTCAACTGAATAATGCAAATTTTGTATTCTGTTAAGTGTGGTTTGCATGTGTACTGTGATTTCAGGGTCTTGCTATATTACTCTGCTAAATCAGTGGCACCATGGGATGCCATGTAACATTAAGTATCTACAAGCAAGTCAGTATTGAACATGGGATCTCTATATCTGAAATATCCAAATTAAAGCGTTCAAAAAGCACAGGAGTCTGACAGAGTTGTAACAGTTATTCACCTCTATGATATTGAGACTTACTTAATCTGCTACTCGAGAATGGTGGGGTTTGCTTCAACTTGAGTAATTCCACAGGGAGCTCTCCTGTTTTCCTTCTTGGCTGGGTGCTACCATCCTGATCTGTGCTAACTGGAATTAGCCTTCATGTTGTGTGCAGAGGACAGGTAGACCATTCCAAGAGCCACATGAATCACAGTCTTTCATTTGACCGCAACATTTTTAGGCATACTATTAAAAAATGTCAGATTTGGAAACCTTTCATTTGACATTTATCTGAACAACCATAATGTAACTGTATGAAAATGTCAAAGGAGAATAAAGCTGTATTCTTATCTGTACAAATATCAAATGAATGGTTGTTTCCTCTGATATTTAGGGTCTGAAAGGGTAGAGGTCAAATGAGGTGCCTCCCCTCACGAAGGTTAGTGGTAGTGATGAACAAGGATAGTTGAGAATTCTAAGGAAATAGCTCTCACCCATATCACCGAGCTTGTTGCCCTAAGAAACTCTAGGTAGCAACTCAAAGAGAATCCCAAGGTAATGCTTTGGCAACAAAATAGCTAATTCCTGCCTCCTGCCCCAAAGGCTGCTTGTCCCTGACAGTTGGTTTTGTGTTTTTATTTGGACTTTTCCTGCGAAGAATGCTTCCCTTTCTAGCTCCATTTTTCCCTTTTCCAAGTAAAATAAGCTTGCTTGCTTCTCTCTTACTCCTTCAAACTTTACTCAAATATTTATCATTAGGGATATTGTGGTTTTGTGCTTAAGCCCATGCAGTCCAGATTTTCAGAGGTTCAGTAATTATTGGAAGCATGTTGTTTGAATTTCTTCCTGTTTTTCAGTTTGAGAGTAAAAACTAATTTTTTTGAAGAGGAAATACAAAAAATGACTTTCTACGTAGCTTCTTGCATTGATAGAGCTATGAATATGCAAGTTTCTGCTGAAATTTATCATTGTTTGCAGATTATGTCAGTTTCCTCTTTGATGCTCGTGATCTGCAAGTATTTAGATGTCTGATTCCTACTGACATAATTCTTCACTGTATAGCCAAGCAGAGCACTCTTCTGCAGCTCTAACAGTCATTCTCTCTGTAACCTTCTTTTATGCATCGATGTCATAAAATTTTAGGGGATACCCTGGCTGAACAAGTCTGGCATTTGTGGATTGTAACTACCAGTAGGGATACCAAGGTAGCTGTAACTTACAGTCCCTTTATAAACCTCTTCTATATTACGGTTGTATTGTTAATTCATAAAGTGAAAGTAAACAAGTGACTCTTTCCCAAGCCTATTGATACTAAATTATTTTAACAATATTTGCCCATTAGAAATAGTAAGACACCATTCAATTTCTGGAGTCAATGCATTACAAAGTCACCACTTTACAAGTTGCACATTCAAGCTCAAAAGAGATTCCTGAGATGACTATTTTGCTGCCTTCACCATGTAAATGATACTGGCACACTAAGCCTTCTCCTGCAGTATCTGTTTTTATCAGCAGATGTCTGTGGACTTCATGCTGTCAAATTGCCCTGTGATCTCCATCATGCCTACATTTATGAGAAATCCTGACATATTTATTTCTAGAGCCCGTCTTTTGCATTGAGTGTCTCACAAGAGTACCATTGTGGGTTGCACCCACAACGCCAGTACATCTGTTGTGTCAGTACTGTTGTGCGTGACTGACAGTGGTGTGGATGTGCACACGATTTATCACACAACCCTGCATTGAAATACTATCTGTGGATGTATGCTTTCCTTACTTCTCAGAACTTGGAGAAGAGAGATGAACCCAGGTATTCCAATTTCCTAGTGAGTGCTCATCTGATTAAACTATTAGTTATATTACAGATTAATTCTATTTGAACAGGGACAATAAAGATATAAATGAAAACATCCAGATTCTGTATGCCCCTCATACTGAGAACAGTAACTTCTGTGCTTTTTGAAACTCATCTCAGGTACCACAGTAGAATAGAATTTCTTCCTCAGTAATTTCTTGGTAAGCCACTTCGTATGTAAGAGCAATGGCGTATCATTACTCTAAAACTGTTACATTCATGACTGAAAGGATTTCCAGATTAGCCAAAATTTGTTCATTGATATCTAAAAAGGTCCAAAAGTCAGTTTGTCTATGAATGACACCGTAACACCAACAGCATCAGGCCAAAAGTTTACCATACATAAACCAACCATCCAAATCCTTCCACTAAAGCATAAAAGAACTCTTAGTTTTGTAACCACTTGTAAATACGCAAATAATATTCCCTGATAAGATCTTAAACACATTGTCATATGAAATGATTAACAACTACTATAAATTTGGAAACGTTGAGATTCACAATTCCAAGTGCTGATTCTCTTACATGCTCTAAATGCAGACTTTAAAGTTTAAACACAGTAAGAAATGCTATTTCACAACATCTGCTTCAAGTACATTATGATACCAGAATGACATAATTGTGGTCTAAGAGCAGAAACTAGGAAAAGGGCCGCTATATCATCTTATTCACACTGAAAACAAACAAACAAATAAATAAATCCTTACAACTCATTCCTCCTCTACCTGACTGGTAAATCAGTGTGCAATAAATAAAAATATAAGTTAAATAAAGTTAAAACATTAAAGCCCCTGGCTTGAACAACTGAATGGTGAGAGAAGGGGAGAGAACGTGGGGGAAATACACCAGACTACACTGGAACTCCAAGGGAACATCTTTTGTATGCCCTGTGTAACATTCCAAATTTTACCTGTCCATTGCAGTATCCTAGTAATGCC